TCTTGTGTTTTTAAATCTCTAGATACCACACATGGCCTCCTGGAGAAAATTATTCTTCCTGCGCCCTCAAAATATAAAGATAAGGCATCAAATGATGAATGGAACTTCCAAGATTTTAAAGTCCCAGCATCTCTGCATCCATCTTCACAGGCTGTCTGTCAAGCTGGAAACGAATTTTAAAAAGGAGCTTCGCACCCCATAGCCCCTTATAACATCTCTCTGCAAGATTCCAAAATATGTTTAACTATATGTCCTTTCAGAGGCCAGGTAATCAATTGGTCTACTAAGAACTGTGTAAGGAGACATCTATCTGCTCTTTTAGGGAAAAACCCTCTCTCTGTTGACTTAAAGAGGATTGAACACCTTAATAATATGCCAAAAACTCAGAAGGTTTTACTTTCCTTCGAGTCCAGGAAGATTCCTACATTACTAATGCTGCAAAGACATCTTAAGATCATATAGCATTTTTCCTACTAGAGTTTTCAATAATTACAAGATCTCCCCCCTTCTCCCTAATTATATATCCAAGGCAATTCAGTGTGAGACTGGAATTCCAACAACCTGTTTTCAAAACTTCAGCCCCCTCGGATTCAGATTTGACTAGTCGGGACTGATGTTCCTCCCCCTTCTTTGGCAAAGGCCTCTTATCTGGAGAATTCCGTAGAACAAGATCTACTCTCATCCTTCACTTATTTGCCAAAATCTGAGCATACGAAAATTATGGCCAGATTAGAAGAATTAGTACTCTGCCTTCATAATTCAGATGAACATGCGGAAACAGACAAGGTGAACTCTGACCCACTACTGGATATGGATATGGAGCATGATATGGGCACTGAATCTAACCCCCTGCCTGACCAGAAGGAAGCACTCACTGAAAACACTGCTGCTCCTCCCCCCTCGATATCACAGAACCCACCATCTAATGGTTGTATTTTTACTGACACCGGAAGGTCCTTGGATATTATTGAGAAGGCAGACTGACTATCGCCCCTCCTCCTCTCCTGGAACATTGCCGGATGGCACTCTAAATCATTGGACCCAGACTTTATTTCTTATATCTCACAGTTTAAGATCATCTTTCTACAAGAAACTTGGATGCAAGACCCATTCATGTGCTTCGATTGGTACCAAAGGGGGAAGACCCTCAGGAGGACTGAGTATTCTTGTGTCTTCATCGTTAAATAGTTCCCCAAAGAAATTGAAAAGTAACCTGAATTGGATTCTGGCTGTTAGTTTAAGATAATTTGCATTAATGTGTACATCCAACCTTTTACGAAACAGTCTGATATAAAAAATGCTTGGGAAGAGTTGGAAGGATATGTTTGTCACATATCAGGCATGTTTCCTTCTTCCGCCATAATGATTGCTGGTGGTTTTAATGCAAGGTTTGGTCATAGTGATGAACAGCTGATTGATGAGAGTGGTACAGGTGGCCCCATTTCTGAAGATGAACTCTGGCCACTTCAGGCGTCTCTCTTTAGACCCGGTTGTCAATTTTGCTGGCACATGCCTTTTTCAATTGGCTTTTAGGCTAAACTTTGTCATTCTGAATGGTCTGTTATTGGGTGACTACCCCGGCCAATTGACTTATTGGTCAGGCTTAAAGCACTCGACCATTGATTACATTCTTATCTCACAAGATCTCTATAATGATTATATTGATTTTCTGATTGACATAAGAACAGAAAGCAACCATTTACCCTTAGACCTCAAAAGTTTTGGTCCAGTAGGACCTCTGACGGGTCGACTCTGTCCTGAAGTGATGGAGCCTAAGCTTTCGGAACAGACAGGGAAGATTAGACTTAAATGGTCTTTTCATATCAGTGAAAATTTCTCTCTCTGGACACAATCAGCTAATGGCCAGTTCTTCCTGCAAGTCCTAACACCTAATAATGATGGGGGGATCTCTCTAATTGATTATTACCACCTATTAATTTCCAATCTCCAGCCTCTGCTCTCGAGACCTGGAGATCTTAAACATGATAGGATCTCCAGCAATAAAAAATGGTTTGATCATGAGTGCAC